GCAACCTTTGTAATCTGTGGAGGGAACAAGGGAAGGGTACACCGACGTTTCAAAGTTGCATAGTGGCAAAATTTGCTTTGGGGTTTGTGGCCCGAGCTTTCAGACGACCGTTCTAATGGAGTACGTTTTCTCCACATTCCACGCAAAAGTCTATGCAATAGTCGTATGTACCTCTGAACGCTTAAGAAGATAGTGCAGGAGAGAATTAATTTGCATTTACTACGACAGTCAAGCCGCCTTAAAGTCCCTAAATAGGCGAATTATAACATCTTCGCTTGTGTTGAAGTGCTTTCAAACACTAAATGAGCTATGCAGGAACAATGAGCTGCACCCAATTTGGGTGTCTAGCGATTCAGGTGTTGGGGGCAACGAAAGGGCTGATTTCCTAGCTAACAGGGGAGGCCGAGGGATCATAATAGATCCTGGATCTTTCTTTGGCGTACCAAGAAGCCATATTAATAGGCTGGTATCGCAATGCGCACAAGAAAAATCGAATTACCATTGGAAAAAATACAGCAGAAAAAAAGATTCCTAAAATCTTCCGGTATGACATATAAACTAGTTTAACTAAGAAGAAGCGACTTACGTTTGGTTACAGGCATTTACACAGATCATGATTTCCTCAGGTATCACCTGAAAAACATAGGTATGTCCGATATCGATTCATGTAGATTCTGTCAAGGGACGAGTGAGATGTCCCGTCATTTTCTCTGCGAATATGAGGCTATCTACAGAATCAGATACCATGTATTTGGCGCACAATCCATAACATCAGACACGAGATGAAGCTCCGAACCAAAGAATGTATCGGGATTGATAAGAATCCTAGCACTACAGGGCTAAGGAAACGGACAAGTACAATAGATCTTCTACGCCGCGGTGCGAATTGCTCATGCAATTAATAATAATAATCGATGTTCATGACTTGCCACTACCTTCTTTTACTTACTTATTTGGTCGCGAATTGAAAAGCAGACATGTTCTGCCTAAATAAAAAATGAGAATTCCTACATAGGAAATAAGATTTTTAATGCATCAACTACATTCATTGTTCAATATTCCCACCGCAATATTCTTGCAAAGCACTTTTTTTGTTGTTCCAACAAATAGTAATTTCTTTACTTCTTTGACATTATAACAACTAATCTTTGCATATACTAACACACCGCCACACAATGCATATAGTTTTGGAATAGATGTTTTATTATTGTAATTGCGTTCATTGCAATTTTGTATGATGTTATCAACCATTCTCTTATTCCGTCAAATAAAACAAAAAGAAAACAATGTTGGAATGCATCTTGTGTAATGCTCGCGGATTTATTAACATTACTCGATTGTTTATTAATTATATTTTACTTGCCTTTCACTCGCTTTTAAACTTTTTAACTTTAGCAGGAAACATCACAATATCTAGAATTTTGTTAATTTGAATGAAGTTTACCGTTACATGTTTGCCAAAAGACGTGAGCTGCTGAAAATTGCAAAATCTGATAGTTACTGTTTATCAAATGTTGGGGCAATACTCGTTTTAAATATTCACCATCTCCCAGCCAAGTAAATTTACTTTGAGGAGGAAAAATTCAGTTCCATTTCGGTTATAAAATTTGAAAACATTAATGGCTGCATGCTATGATAAGCACACACCTTAATTGTTTCCTATTTTAGTATCCCTTATAGTGGGTATATTAGATTTGTCAAATTTTTGCAACGGATGAGACCATGCGTTTCCATTAAGCTCACCCTTCTTAATCAGCCATATCCATCTTTTCAACTCATAGAAATTGCAATTACGACCTGAAGCCTTTGTCTAGGGGAAGAAATTGCTTAAGCTTGAATGTCAGGGAAATTGGCTCATAGTCTCCCAATAATTACCAAAATTTTTCTTTAATAAAACTCGCGGGTCAAATTTAAAACTTGTACACAGTGAAATCGGTAAATTTTTGTTTATTGAAATTTGTAAACGTCTTACATACTAAGGTAGTTTGATTGTATTACTTTACAAAAACTTACGCATAAATAATTAGGGTTACATTTATTTAAGAGGCGCTTAATTTACCTGCAAGTTCTCAGGTGCTGGAAGTACTCCAGTTGTAAAAAGAAACAGCATTTTAGAGTGGAGAGACGTTGTCTTCTGATTCGGTGTCTGCTTGCTGTTGTGCTCGTAAGTATCAGCTTGAGATTGGAAACTAGGTGCAAGCGATTGCTCAATCTCAAGCGTAACAAGCATCAAAATTATATTGCGCTGTGACGGGATGTCTTGTACGAGTCACCGTCATCTTTAAATATATTGAAAAAAAATTCAAATTCGATATTCTATAATAAGAGGGTGGAGCGGTTAACTATTTCCCCTTTTATAGAAAACACATGAAAATTTTTATTTTACAATTTCCATGTAATATGTAACAATTTTGCGCCTGATGTAAAATGTAGTTAATAAACATTTATGTGCACCATCTAAACATCCAACAAAAAAGGAAAAGAAAAAAGTAACCTACAAATAAGCTAACGGACAAGATATGAACATTGACGTAAAAGTCGGTACAAAAATCGTTTCGCTGGACCAACAGAAACACTTACAAATAACAAAATATTTTACAACTTCAAGGCATACGTTTAAAGGGGTGTATATCACTTTTTGCAAATATAACTTTTTACATTTTTGCATTCGGTTTTCAGTTTATACGCGTTAGCGTTTAGAAGCGTAAGTATTGCAGACAGTTTTCTGCCATTACATGAAAGCTAGTGCAATACATTTAAAGTGTTTCACTTCCTCAGGAAAGTAATATTGTGTTTATTGTATATATAAGGACTGTCGTTTGCCTTGCGCTTCCAGTTTGGCAAGCTGCAAAAGTGACAATAAATGTGTATCCATTATCTATTATTGCCAATGGTTAACTTATACATATTTTTTTAGCAATGGCTTTACTACTCACGTAGAGAAAGTATACAGATTTAATCAACGTGTATGTGTCGTTTTGAGCTGTTGGCAGAACCAACACTATGTACGTTATTGTACGTGCTTTCAAAGTCTTAAAACCAAGTCAGAGGGTACGTACCGAGAGAAGACACTTTTGTAGTTGCTGTGCTTCGTCTCATTTCTATGGTTTATTTTTATTTGATACGATGCACTTATAGTTTAAAGATTGCAATTTATTTTGGTTAATTGGAGACGCCGTTAAATGTCACGGCCGTTTTTGCAAGGCAGAAATACACTAGATCTCTAAAAATTTTTGATAGTTCTTTTGATCGATGCATAATAAGATGCTAGCTTTCCATTCTTCCACTACTTAATGGTCGTTAACACTCCAAGCAGACCAAGCAGGGATATTCATCTTGTTGTTATGAAGCAAGTGCGTATTGCATTGTACTGAAAAGCAAAAACCATGTTTATAAGACTAGTTGAAGCAAGATCTTAAAGTAAATGTAAGTTCAAAATTCTTTTTGAAAGTAAAACAAAAATCCGAGACAACTTACAAAATGAAACTGTTCCCACTTGTACAAACAACCTCATGGTAAATAATATAAAGTATTACTTGGAAAATTCATGAAATATATATATATATATATATGGGAAGACAATTTCCGATTGCTAACATAGCTCTTCCTTTAGCTACCTTAGCTTATTATGGTGGCTAAAGTTTACTTGTAAAATTTGCTTTGCAATTATGTAATGCTGTCGCACATGGCACAGTTTATTTACTTCCGTAATAGGAATGCGTAGCAAATTTTTCAAATAATTTTCTCTTTTGTTCAGAAAGGGAATAACGTTGTATTCGTTTAGTGAGAATTTTGATTATTTAGATGCTCGTACAAGTAAGTATTTTCTGATCATGGGCATTATAATGAAACGACGGGAACATTTAATTTTTGAGAAGATTTTGCGAACATGTCAGTAAATCTTGTTTCGATATCTGCTATACATTTTTAATATCTTGGAACTTCCTTCGTCTTATAGAGGAATCGTGCCACCTTATAAAGTTATTTCATGAAATGAATTAAGTATATATATATGAGGCGTGTTTCATTATCAGATCGAATATGAATCTTGCATTTATCATAGGTATGGGAGCAGCAATGCAGACATTTGGATATTGCAAACGAAATCATTAACCTAGTGAGTTACTCTCAATCGGTGGTAGCGGCATAAAAAGCAGAATTTTCAACATTCTAATAGTCCTTAATATGGGTTTAATCACCGGAAGGAAATATGACAATTGGAAAGCATAAGAAAATACCCTTTTTCTCCGATACATTTAGAATTTAAGTAAAGCGAAAGTAAGCATAACCTGTAATGAAAACAAATGTACTGACACCTTCATGCTTATAGTATGAGAAGCTTTCGTCACACCGGAAATTACAATTGAGTTCATTTTTGAAATAAGTCCTTTGTACAGAAAGTCATTGGTCATCGGTGGTGTTGGTTTTAAAAATGTTCTCTTTCAAATTCTATAGCATTGCTGTTAAAGAAATATATTGATGTATGTATATATAGTTATTATTTTGAAAATTGCTTACGCGATTAATAATAAATACAAATGATACAATTGATCGAATAACATCTCGGAACGCGTGAATACATCAACGATTTATCTCTATTATGTTTTCCTGTTTTCCCCCTTCTTAGGCAAAAAGCATGTATTCAAAGTATTTCTTGTCATTTGGTACAGGGTATAGTGCATTTGTACGTTTATATATAACACTCAGAGGAACTTAAGACAGAGCCATCTTTTATCATTGTACCGATCCATTTATATCGGGAATGATTTAAGCCTGCCTGTGCGTCCGTTTACCAGATGTCTGCCCAAGCGTTTGTGCATTCTACTGTTCTTAGGTATCCATATTTTACATTATGTCGTCATTTTATAATATATCGTCACTACTTCTTAATTTAAAACAAAACAAGATGTTGCAAAAAAAGTCAAATGAAGATTGAAAGTGACGCCTTAAAAATAAGACTGTAATTTTTGATTTGATGATATCAGGGCACGTTTAAATATAAATTGTTAAAGTCGTTTGCTTACATGCGGTGACTTATAATTAGCCGCTACATTCTTACTGTAGGTGCTTGACATCCTAAGCACGAAAGAGAGTTACTGAGAACGAATGAATATGTTTTCTACTTGTTTGAAAATCTATTTTAATATAAATATATTTTGATTGCGAAGTCTTTCAAGAGAGAGCGACGCAATATTTTTTATAATTTATTCGCTTCAAAAGATAAGATATTCGTTTAGCTAATTTGTAGATACCATATATAGAGAAAATGTACATAAATAAATCGAATATTAAACGACGACGCTTTAGTCAGCGGAGAATAATTCAAATGGAACGTTGGTTGAATAAGGTTGCCGTTGTAACGGGTGCAAGTTCGGGTATTGGAGCCGCTACAGCAAAAGACTTGATTCATGCTGGTCTAAATGTAGTTGGCTTGGCTAGACGTGTAGACCGTGTGGAGGAGTTAAAACAACAGTTGCCGGCAGATAAGCGTCAATATCTAACAGCTATAAAATGTGATGTCGCCGATGTGGAATCAGTTAATGAAGCTTTCAAGCAAATTGTTACAAAGTTTGGTGGAATTGATGTGTTAGTTAATAATGCTGGTCGTATCGTAGGGGGTCAGTTATGTACTATGGATGTTGCAGAAGTGCAACGCACTTTGCAAACCAATGTTATGGGTGTTATACATTGTACTCAACATGCTTTCAAATCGATGAAAGAACGTAATATGAATGGTCACATTTTCATTATAAACAGTATTGCTGGTCATAATGTAGTAAGCGGTATTTATGGTGAAATCCCTATGACCAATGTATATTCACCTAGCAAATATGCCCTCACAGCCATTACGGAAATTTATAGAAGAGAATTTCTCGGCTTGGAAACGAAAATCAAAATAACTGTAAGTGTTTATTTCTATTGCAATAGCCATCAGCCTTATGAGCTTAAAT